CCCCAACATCGACATCACAGCATCGAATGGGCTGCAGCGTGGGGGCGTCCACAGTGATGCACTGCAGGTCCGAAGCTGAAGACCGCTTGTAAATGCGAACCCCCTCTGCAGCCAGAAGCCTTTTGGCTTCGTCCCGCTTCAGGAAGCACAGCATTTCTTCCAGGAGTCCTGATCAGCATCTAGCTGAGTGCGCCGTCGAGTCTAACTAGAAAGCTACAACAAGGGACGATACCGCATGTTGCTCACATCTGCTGGGAAGGCTCGCTCCCCATGCTTTTGGCTATGAATCTTGGTGGAATCGAAGAAAGCGTGCACCCGCAAACGTAGCATTCTCCCCGCCACGAGTAGCCCTGGGTGAGCAGTGCGGGTGAGAATGATGACGCGGCTCGCTGTGGCAGCATGGCAAATGCCAGTCAGCAGCCTTTTGCCTCTGCAGCAGGTAAAGCAAAAATAATTGGGGCTGCAGACAGTAGTTATGTTTAGGGTTCCACGCAAGATGCCGCTGCTCCGCTTCAAGCATTTCAAGCCCAAGGCCTTGCTCCACAGGACGAGTGAAGGGGTAGAGCTCCTTCTTCAAGGCATCAGGCACGCTGTCTGGATCCTGCGGCTGCGTCCCTTTGGATGGCGTTGTTCCTGCGTCGGGCTCCTCGTCGTCCTCTTGGATGTCGATGCAGTCACCTCCCTGTTCCTGTTCATCCAACGCAACGTCCAGCTCCAGAGGCTTCCCTGAGTCCCGCAACGGACAGTGTTCATCCAGGCACCGCTGCCTCAGGCCTTCCCATGCCTTGGCACGAACAGAGTTCATGCTATAGCTGCACGGCACCTTCTCCCCCTTGCAGAGCTTGGCCTGACTCACAAGCACGAACGTGGGGAGCTGTCGCGATGACTGGACATCGCCCCCTGTGCACTGTACACAGAACGTGCCGTTCTCTTTGAACTCCGTGATCAACGCCTCGTGCAGGCAGCTCAGGACGTCGAATCTTCTTCCCACGGGAATGACCTCTCTTCTTGAATAACCA